CCCCAAAACCCCAAAACCCCGCTAGGATATTATCAAAAGTTAAGAACAAAATTATTTGATTATTATTAAAATAGTTGCAGTTAATGGAATAGAAATAGCACATTGAGGATTAAATCATAAAACTATAGAAAGAGACAAACTCTTAAAATGAGGCTATCAAACTTTTACAATCTGATAACTCTAATAAAGCAGAGGAAATAGAAGCCTTACTTGTATTTATATTTGCTCTTAATTTCATAGGTAAAAAGGCAGGAATTGTAGTTGGAAGTAAAAAGCAAGCGAGTAATTTTAGAAGAATTGTTGAGTAAATAGTAAAAACTGACTGCAGCTGAAGAGGCATTAAGCATTAGAGAGCAAAAGAATATTGCTGAATAAGAACAGTAGATGAGAGAAAAGACCTAGAAGATAGAGGAGATTGTTTATAAAAAGCTGAAGTTTCACTTAAAGTAGAAATTGGAGAATTTCAAAAAGAATCCTTAAGAAATTTTACTCAGACACTAGTATGTTGAAAAAGAGTCTGGAGGTAGGCCTTATGTAAATGCAGTTCAAATAAAGATTGTAAGAAATCTTATATTTGCCTTAACTCTGCAACAATTATTTTAGTTATCTAAGATCGCCCAAGAAAATCCAAAGGAGAAGGATGAAAGAGCTTTTAAGTAAAATGATCCTAATCAAAACTTAATTATGGAGGAAAATCAATTTTTTACTCAGACATTCAGAATTTCTAAACAGACTGATATGAATTTACTTAAAAAATTAGCCTGTGATTTTTGGGGGCTGAATGAAAAGCATTACTAGTTTTATGATGAAAATACAAAGCCAGTTTAATCTGATGAGGGTAACCAAGTACTTACTGCTGATAAATACTTTGAGACTTCAGGAGCTAAATCATCTGGTTCTGGATCTAAGTTGGCTGTTCTATACATTGGAAAGCTCAAGAATGATCCATTTCTTGTAAGAGCAATTAAGGGTATATAGGAGAAAAAAAGCCAGAAAAATATCAATGAGTAAGTTTATTTATGACTAAAATATTCACAGTAAGGAGGATGAAAATGGAAACAGAGATGAATTCAGTGAAAATAATCAGGACATGGAGGAAGAGTTTTTATAAAATTTTGCTGGTCTACAAGCACAATATAATCATTAGAAGAATCCTAAAGGAAAGAGAGCAAATTAAATAGATACAAAATGCTGCACGCTTTTCGTCTTTTTATTACTTTTCGTAAAAAATCTTTTCTTGCTAATTAATATAAACATTAGATTCTGACTTTACTTTCAATCTAATTGAAGAGAGATGTGACTGCATGCTATTGGGCAGCAGGAGTACTTCATGAAAATTTTGATGAACGTAAGACTATCTTTTGATAATTTATTAATTCTTTAGCTTTCGATTAAATAAGAAATCAGGAAACTTTTTGGAATTATATAAATACAACACTAGGCACTGCTTTGTTTACCAATTCAAATCTAAATAATTTTTACAGCTAAGATAATTTATTTGTGAGTGGGACTGAAATTGTTAAGCACTCAGTTATTATTGGAGCTATATAATTTAAATAGTCAAGAGTTGTGCAAATTGCATGCCCTAGACAGGCTTAGCTGAAGAATCAATACAAATGTTATGAAAATTATTACACTAAGGATACTATGGAAACTAAAGATCTCAATTAATCATCAAGTGATTAGTCCACTTCATGGTTTTACTTCTAAGACAGTGATAACTCAGATTATTCATCTACTGAAATAAAAGGAAGTCTTGGAACTTATGATTCTCAGGGGTATATAATCAGATTCCCACCTTATAATACAACTTTAAAGCAATATTAAAATACAATAACTCAGATGAAAAAGGATTAATATTTAGACTTATCAACAATTGCTCTGGGTAATTAATCTTTCATGATTACAATTAAATTTAGAAATAACATTCACATTATACAATCAAAAGTTTGACTACTACATTTCAGTACTCTAGTTGATTGAATAATCAGCTGGAAATATATTTCCAAGTCGATCAATAATAATCCCTTTTAGATTAAATCCTTTTAAATCGGGGCTAAAAGGATTGCAAGCTGTGGATGCTTTGAGAATAGTTCTTCTAGTTTATATCATTTACATTATCATTATTAAATTGGTAACATTATTTATTCAAATCTAATTTTCTTTAGTGCGCATATGGATCAATTGAGAATATCCTAAGTACTTAAAGTTTAGTACATGTTGGATAAAATTTACTTATAATACTACTCTAGCTAATATCTTTTATTCTACCTATCTAAGAATAGGCTGATTTCTCATTGACTCCAGATAAATTCATGACAAATGAAACAAATAAGGAGTATTTTTATACACTAAGCATGGCATACTGGTTTTATTAATCATTTATTATTGATTCTATATGCTTGCTATTTATCCTTTATAAAATGATTCAGGTATTCAGAACCTATAGGACTATTGAGATAATCTTATAATCGATAGAAACAGTAAGTTATTAATTAACCCTTATATTTTAGGCAAGTTTGTTAGTCGGAGCACTCGTGAGTTTTATTTGTGTGGTCCTCATAGGCATGTCAATAGTTGCAATGAATATATGGGGAGCCTAAGTCCTTTAATTTAAGACCTTTAGTAATGCATTTCTCAGCGTTATATTCCTTCAAATGGGTATTTTGAAATTAATTAATAATGGTATTTTAGGCTTGGTTGATTTTGACTAACTCTAGTCTTACTCAATTATATGGTCTTTCCTATTTATAATCCTTTACTGCATCTTCATCATTTACATACTACTGTCCTCTTTTATGATTATATTCATAGATAGCTATCGCAGAATAGTTATATAAGAAGGTTCTCTAACATAAGATGTAGTTAAACAGGGCGAGACTAGGACATTTTCTGGTTTCCTTAAATGGTTCTTTGGTTGGTTGCCTGATGAATGTTTAAAGAAGATTGGTAAGAACGATGACAATAATGATAGCTTAATGAATGATGAAGATGATGACGTTGTTTAAGAAAATAATAAAGGAAATGATTCAGACGAATCCAATAGTGATGATGACAAGAGTTGAATCCTATGATCAAACCTAATCAATTAAACAATTTGAAAATGAATATAATTTTGATTTCATAACTAACTAATAATCCACAATATCTTAAATTAAAGTCTTTGGGGGTTTTGGGGTTTTGGGG